ATTGACATCTTTGCTCTTGACCACTTTAAAGAGATCTTGTGCAGCCAATTTGCTTAATATAATACATCATTTCATTTCCTGGCTGCTGCTTCCATGAGTGTTGATTGTGGATCCAAGCTACATGAAGTTTTAGACAACTTCAATCTCTTTTCCATTTATCATGATGCTACTTATTGGTCCAGTTGTGATGATTTTTTTTTCCTTTACATTGAGATGGAATCCATACAAAAGTCTTTGATCTTCATCAGTGAATATTTTAAGTCCTCTTGGCTTCCAGCAAGCAAGGTTGTATCATCTGCATATTGCAGGATGTCAATGAGTCTTCTTCCAATCCTAATGCTACACTCTTGTTCATATAAGCCAGCTTCTAGGATTATTTGCTCAGCATACAGATTGAATAAGTATAGTGAAAGAATAAAGCCCCGGCATACAATATTCTTGATTTTAAACCATTCAGTAGTTCCTTGTTCTCGTCAAAGGACTGCCTCTTTGTCTATGTACAGGTTTCTCATGAGCACCATCAATTGTTCTAGAATATCCTTTATTAGAAATATTATCCATAGCTTGTCATGATCCACACAGTCAAAAGCCTTTGCATAGACAACAAATCATAAGTAAGCATCTTTCTGATATTGTTTGCTTTCAGCCAAGATCCATCCAATGTCAGCAGTGATATCCCTGATTCCACATACTCATCTGAATTCAGCCTAAGTTTCTGGAGATTCTTTGTCAATGTACTGTTGCAGCCAATTTAAAAAAATTATTTTCAGCAAAATTTTACTTGCATGTGATATTACTGATATTACACAATGATTCCTGCATTCTATTGGGTCAACTCTCTTTAGAATGGGCACAACTATGAATCTCTTCTAATCAGGTGGCCAGGTATGTGTCTTCCAAATTTCTTGGCATAGATAAGTGAGCACCAACAGTGCTTCATCACTTTGTTAAAAGATATCAGTTTGTATTCCATTAGTTCTTGGAGCCATGTTTTTTTGCCAATACTTTTAGTTCAGCTTGGACTTCTTCCTTAGATACCATCAGTTTTTGAACATATACTACTTCTTTAAGTGGTTGAACATCGACCATTTCTTTTTGGTACAGTGACTGTGTATATAACTTGAATCTGTTTTTTTTTTAAAATAATATTTTACCCATGTAGTCGTTATTGTTAGGTGCCATCATAGGTTCCAGCTCAGAGACACCTTATACACAACATAATGAAACACTGCCTGGTCCTGTGCTATGCTCACAATTGTTGCTAAGCTTCAACCCATTGTTGCTGCCACTGTGTTAATACATCTCATTGGGTGTTTTCCTCTTCTTTGCTGACCCTCCACTTAACCAAGCATGGTATTCTTATCCAGAGACTGGTCCCAACTGATAATATGTCTATAGTATGAGAGACAAAGCTTCAACATCCTAGTTTCTAAAGAACATTCTAGATGTACTTCTTCTGAATCACGTTTGTTCTTCTAGCAGTCCATGTTGTTGTTATTGTTAGGTGCCATAGAGTCAGTACCAATTCATAGTGACCCTATGCACAACAGAACAAAACACTGCCCAGTCCAGGGCCAACCTCACAACTGTTGCCACACTTGAGCCCATTGATACTGCCACTTTGCCAATTCATCTTTCAGGAAATCGTCCTCTTTTTCTCTGACCCTCCATCTTACCAAACATATTATCCTTCTCCAGTGACTGGTCCCTCCTGACATTATGTCCAAAGTATGAAAGACAAAGTGTGGCCATCCTAGCCTCCAAAGAACACTCTGTCTGCACTTCTTCCAACACAGATCTGTTTGTTCTTTTGGCAGCCCATGGCAATTTCAATATCCTCCTCCAACCCCATAACTCAAAAGCATCAATTCTTCTATGGTCTTCCTTATTCACTGTCCAACTTTTACATGCATATGAAGTTATAGAAAATACTATGGCTTGGGTCAGATTTACCTTAGTCCTCAAATTGACATCTTTACTCTTGGACTTAAAAAGAGCTTTCTTGTGCAGCAGATTTGCCTAATGTAATATTTTGTTTGACTTCTTCAGTGCTTTTTCCTTGTGTGTTGAAAGTGGATTCAAGCAAAATGAAGTCTTCGACAACTTTAGCCTTTTCTTCATTTATCATGATGTTATTCATTGGTGCAGTGGTAAGAAATTTTGTTTTATCTACATTGAGGTGCAACCCATACTGAAGCATGTGGTGGTTGATCTTCATCAGTAAATCTTTGAAGTCCTCTTCACTTTCAGCAAGCAAGGTTGTATCATCTGCATGTCACAGGTTGTTAATGAGTCTTCCTCCAATCCTGATACCACATTCTCTTTTATATAATCCAGCTTCTTGGATTATTTGCTCAGCATACAAACTGAAAAAGTATGGTGAAAGAATACAACCCTGGAGCACACTTTCCTGATATAAAATGATTCAGTGTCCCCTTGTTCTGTTAGAAGGACTGCCTCTTAGTCTATGTGCAGGTTCCACATTAATTAATTAATTAATTGTTCCAGAATAGTCCTTTTCTGCAGTGTTATCCATAGCTTGTCATGATACACAGTTAAAAGCCTTTGCATAGTTAATAAAGCACAGGTAAACATCTTTCTGGTATTTTCTGCTTTCAATCAAGATCCATCTGACATGAGTAATGATATCCCTTATTCCACATCCTCATCTAAATCTGGTTTGAACCTCCGGCAGTTCCCTGGCAGTGCACTGTTGGAGCTGTTTTTGCATTGTCTTGCATGTGATAGTCATTATATTGTCTGGTGATTTCCTCAGTCCATGGGGTCATCTCTCTTTGGAATGTGGACAAATATGGATCTCTTCCAATCCATTTCCATGTAGTTACCTTTCAAATTTCTTGACATCAATGAGTACCACCAGTGCTGCATTCCATTGTTATAAATTTTTCAATTTGTATTCCATCAATTAATGGAGCCTTGTTCTTTCCCAATGCCTTCAAAACACCTTGGACTTTCTTCCTTCAGTACCATTGGCTACTGATCATATGCTATGTCTTGAAATGGTTGAACATCAACCATTTCTTTTTGGCACAATGATTCTGTGTATTCCTCCCATCTTTTGATGTTTTTGCGTCATTCAACATTTTGCACATAAAATCCTTCAGTATTTCAAGTTAAGGCCAGATTTTTTTCAGTTCTTTCCACTTGAAAACCTTTGAGCATGATCTTCACTTTTGGTTTTCTAACTCCAGGTATTTGTACATTCCATTGCAATACTTGATTTTTCTTCTCGAGCTCACTTTGAAATTTTCTGTACAGCTCTTTTACTTCTTCATTTCTTCCCTTTGCTGTAGCAATGATCCTTCTTCTCTGTTTACAACCTTTGCATTCCAATCACCAGTAATTATCTCTATGCTGGAGAGCAACTTTCAGAGTCTCTTCTGATATCCATTTTGATCTTTTCCTTCTTTCTCATATTCTTAATGACCTCTTTGCTTTCTTCCTGTATTTTGGCTCTCCTGGATTTGTTTTAATTTTCTTCAGCTTCAGCCTGAGCTTGCACATGAGCCCTTTGCCTGATTTTAAATGATAATATGGAGTTTTTACACCCTCTCTTCCCACAGGTGAAGTCAATTTGATTTCATGCATTCCATCAGGTGAGGTCCATGTGCATAGTAGTCTTTTATGTTATTTTTAAAAAGATGTTTTCAATGAAGAATTCATTGGTCTTGCAAAATTCTATTATGTGCTCTCCATCATCATTTCTATCAACAAGATCATATTTTCCAACTATTCATCCTTCCTCTTTTTTTCACAACCTTTGCATTCCAATCACCAGTAATTATCAACACATCTTGATTCCATATTTGGCTAATTTCAGGCTGAAGAAGTTGGTAGAAATCTTCAATTTCATCATCACTGACTTTAGGAGTTAGTACATAAATTAGGATAATTGTGGTATTAGCTTGTCTTCAAAGCTTATGGGTATTATCCTATCACAGAATGCCTTGTACTTCAAAACAGATTTTGAAATGTTTTTTTGATGACAAATGTGATGCCATTCCTCTTGAATGTGTTGCTCCTGGCATAGTAAACAATATGATTGTCAGATGCAAAATGGCCAATGCCAGTACCTCTCAGCTCACAAATGCCTAGGATGTCAATCTTTATGCATCTATTTCATTTTTGACAATGTCTAATTTTCCTAGATTTATACTTCATACATTTATGTTTGGATTATTATTGGGTGTTTGCAGTTGTTTCTCCTCATTTTAAGTTATGCTCCATTAGCAGACCCTAAAAACTTTATTGCATCTGCATCATCACAGTCAACTCTACTTATGGAGACAGCTCTTATCCAGTAGCATTTTGAGCGCCTTCCAACCTGAGGGACTCATCTTTAGGTATTCTATCTGACACTATTCTGGGACTATTTCTATTTTCTTCTACTTGTGTAGCTTCCAGCATCATAGCAACAGGCAACAATTCTTCTTTGTATTCAGTTCTTTGCAGTATTAAATTCTTCCTAGCAAGAATCTTCATAATATTGTGTTATTTATTATTTTTTTATATGAAAATTAAATATTAAAAACCAAATTACCTTTCTCCCTGGCATACTCATTAGCATTTCAGTGGAAACAAGAACAGAATATATTTTAGGGAGTTGATAATTTTTTTAATCCTGCACAGTGTTAAAATGAAAACAGGGACACTTTATGGTTTTCTTTCTTTGCTTTTCTTTTTTTTTTTCCCTTTCTTCTCTTTTGGCTTTTTAGCACTTACTGTGTGCCAGATAGTATTCAGGCACTTTACCTGCACTAATACCTCATTCCTTCCTTAAAACAGCCCTTTGTGGTTAGAACTGATACCATCAATATTTTACAGGTGAGGAATGCAAAGGTCAGTGAGGCTAAGACACTTTCATTAAAAGACCGTGGTTAGAAAAGAAGGTCAAATGCACATTCTATTTCTCCATACTAAGCACTATGTTAGCTCAGAAATGGGAGAAAAAAGAAAGAAAGAAAAAAATAGCTACTTACTGTTTGATTACTATAAAGGAGGATCTCCAATGTCTGCACCTCAGCTGCAAATAAAGATGGCAAATAGCCAATAGAATATAGTGAAAATATTTTCTTCTATCTTGGTTTAAAAAGCAAACAACTTAAAGCTGTCTACAAAATAACTTAAAGATGTCTATGTCGTTGTTGTATATTGTGTGCCGTCTAGTGGGTGTCAACCCATAACTACCCTGTAGAGAGTTTCCTATAACCCTATTTGAAATTGTTCCTTTTAAGGTAGGCCAGATATACAGAACACATCTTTGCTCTTAACAATGATTAGTTGGGAGGCCAAGCAAAATCGACTGAATCCTTTCAGGTCAATTTTAAGCTGACCACATTTTCCATCCAGGTAGTGAAACCTACTACCTGTATTTTGAGAAAGATTTCTGCCGGTAAGTCTATTTGTAAAAAAAATCTTGACTATGTGGTTTCATTTGTCCACAGAACTCTAATGGCACTACACATATCCAACAACAGTGACAACACTCAGACATTATATTCCAATTAGACTTTGTGAGACAACTAAAATTAAATTGAAAAGTGTTAACATGTTCTCTTTATAAAGGACACAGAGTATTTTATTGCCTTAAAATTGAAAGTAGAAGTAATAATTACAGCTAAAATTGACCATGAGTGAGGCATTGTGCTATACTTTTAAGTGATACCTCTCATTTAGTATTCAAAACCAACCCAAAATATGGAGTATAGGCCCCATTACACAGATTAAGAAGCTGAGAAATTTGGAAAGTTACATAACTGACCCAAAGTCACACAGCTTAGTAGTGACAGAAGATATTCCAGCTGAGGTCAACATAGCAATGAGAATTTCATGGCCTTTAAGAACCTTCATCTCAGTATCATCCACTGTCATCAATACTAAGAAGAACTTCACATTGCTAGACTACAACTCACCGTCTTCTCCTTTCATCCTCTTACCTACTTCTTCATCTGCTTCTCCTTTCAATAAATATATAGTAAGCCCCTGTTGTTGTTGTTAAGTACTATTGAGTCGATTCTGACCCATAGAGATTCTCTATAGGGTTTCCATGGAGCAGCTGGTGAGCTTGAACCACCGACCTTGCAGTTCAAATGACTTTGCAGTCTGATGCATTAGCCCACAGTACCACACCAGGACTCCTCCTCCATGCCAAGTACAGAGGTGGACACAGTCCATGACCTCATGGACACTGCATCCCCAAATTAAAATCAGCTAACATCAAGCCAAGTCAAACTCATGGGTGTCGGAGTAACTGTGCTCCACAGAGCTCTCTGTGATTGATTTTTTAGAATTAGATTCCTAGGACTTTCTTTCAAGGTGCCTCTGGTGGACTTGAATCTTTTGGTTAGCAGCCTAGTGTGCTAACTGTTTGTACCCCAGGGACTCCATTCCAAAAACAAATGAGATGAAAAATAAATTAATAGGCTGTCAATTGTGGGGAAATGAAGCATGCTTTCTCATTTTTCTGGCTGTGTCAGAGACTCTGAAGCTCCTTAAATGTCACTATCACCTACTGGAGGTCTGAAAATCCTTTTAACATGTGCAAAAGGTTTAACCAAGCGGTGATGTTACAGACTATCTTAATATTATAAAGGCATTGTGTCTACCTAAAATTATTTGTTTTCAAAAGGCAAAAGTTTTTTATCTTAAATTTTAGTAGCCAAAGAAATTTAAAGTATAAAAACCACACTGGTGGAACTGCTTAATAAACATGAAACTTCCCTGAAAATTTCAAATCCAGTTTCTACTTCCTTGTAATTATTTTTCTTTGTATCAACGGTAATACTTAGAAAAAAAAACAAAAACAAAACTTAACTTTGAGGAGAAAATAATCAGTAAAATAAAGCACTATCAGGTTCTTATAAGGCGCTCTGGTAGTGGTTACGAGTTGGGCTGCTAATCTCACGGTGAGTGGTTCGAAACTACTAGCAGTCCTGCAGCAGAAAGATGAGGCTTCCTGCTCTCATGAAGATTTACAACCTCAGAAACCCTATACGGGGTCACTATGAATTGGAACTGACTCCATGGCACATAACCACCACAACATTGGGTTCTCATGGTTTATTTCCACATAGATTTGGTCATCAAACAAGATGGATGGGACAGATGGGAAAATGGTACAATGTACTTCCTTGGGTCGTAGAAGAATATAAATTTAATGTTGTTGTTGTTGAATGCCATTGAGTTAAATCTGACTCATAGTGACCCTGTACAGGGTTTTCTAGAAACAGCTGGTTGGTCTGAACTGCCAAACTTGTGGTTTGAAGTCCAGTGCTAATCCTATAGTGCCACACCAGAAGTCCATATAGACTTAATAGTTATCATTTGTCTATGACTTACATGCCAGCCATAGTACTTAGCACTTCACATGTATGGTCTCCTTTAATCCTCACCTCAATGGACAGATACTGTTAACTTTCCCATTTTTTTCAGCTGAAAATACTGAGTCTCAGAGGTACTCTTCTAAATATTTATTAGCAAATCTGGGATTCAAACCAGTTCCTGCTACAGATCTCAGAATTTACCCACTACCCATTTCCCCCCTTTATGTGGAAGGGAAAGTGCATTTGTTCCGTATTCAAGGTAAGTTTAAGAATTTCCAGGATCCATAAAACTTAATTTTTAAAGATCACTCCACTTCATACCAAACATATTAAATGTATCCACATTCCAGATTAAGTGGAGTCCGAGTGTGGCACTGTAGACGTAAGGCCACTTTGAACTGCAAGGTTGGTGGTTCAAACTCACCAGCCACTCTCTGGAAACCCTATACAGGATCACTGTGAGTCAGAACCAACTTGACAGCACTTAACACCAAACAACAACCAGATTAAATAGGAAGAATATATGTAAGAGTTAACCTGCAGGTGGATAACTGATATGTTAAATATTATGAATTCCTGGTGTGGTGCTGTAGGATCAGCACTGGACTGCAAACCACAAGGTCATCAGGTCAGACCTACCAGCTGCTCCTCGGAAACCCTATACAGGGTCACTATGAGTCAGAACCAACTGGATGGCACTTAACAACAACAACATATTATAGACATATTACTAAACATTCATTAATCTCAACTTTTCTTTTTATTTGCCTATTTTGTTTCACTTTGATTTCAGATCCCCACACATCTTTCACTTTGTTGTACTGTGGTGACTTTCGTGTTACTGTGATGTGGAAAGCTATGCCACTGGTATCTAAAATACTAGTAGAGGCATCTATGACAGAAACATTTCAGCAGAGATTCCGGACTAAGAGCAGCTAGGAAAAAGGAATAGGTGGTTTACTTATGATGGATTAGAACTTAAAACCTTTGGAATAGCAGTAAAATATTGTCCTTGTGCGGCACTGTAGGATAAGTACTTGACCTCGCCTTTGGTTTAAACTGCAGTGTTGGCAGTTGGAAAGTAATAAAAGTATGGCTGAGGAAGCACTGTCTCCTCAAAGTAGAGTCATCCTTAATGACAGATGGAGTAAAGGTTTTGAGAGTTTCATTTGATGATGGGGCATGACTTAAAATAAGAAGAAACAGCTGCAAACATCCACTAATAATCAGATCATGAAATGTACCACGTGTGAATAAGAACACTGAAAGTCATAAAAAATGAAATGGAACACATAGAGATTGATATTCTAGGCATTACTGAGATGAAATGGAGAGGTATTAGCAATTTTGAATCAGAAAAGCATATGGTTTACTAAGTCTGGAATGACAAATTCAGGAGGAATGGTGTTGCATTCATTGTCAAAAAGAACATTTAATGATCTTCCTTGACTATATGTAATGGAATGCCAATTGAAATGTTTCCAAAAACTGATGCAGCTCTAGAGGCGCTCACTCACTGGTGCCAAGAAATTTGGAAGACAGATACCTGGACAACAAATTGAAAGAGACCATATTTGTGCCCATTCCAAAGAAAGATGACCCAATAGAATGAGAAAATCATTAAACAATATCACAAATATCACAAGCAAATAAAATTTTGCTAAAGATAATTTAAAACTGGCTTCATAGACAGGGAGCTGCCAAAAATTCATGCTGAATTCAAATATTGCTAACATCAAATGGATCTTGGCTGAAGCAGAAATTACCCAAAAGATGTTTTTGTGCTTTATTAACTACTGAAAGGCATTCGACCATGTGGATCATAGAAAGATATGAATAACATTGTGAAGAATAGCAATTTAAGAACATTTCATTATGCTTATGTGGAACTTGTACGTAAATCAAGAAGCAGTTGTTGGAATACAAGAGAGTACTAGATGGTTAAAAATCAGGAAAAGTGTGTGTCTGCATTGTATCCTTTCACCATACTAATTCAATCTGTATGCTGAGCAAATAATCTGAGAAGCTGGACTATATGAAGAAGAACATGTCATCAGGATTCTAGGAAGGCCCATTAACAACCCGTAATATGCAGATAACACAACCTTGCTTGTTGAAAGCAAAGAGGACTTGAAGCACTTTCTAATGAAGACCAAAGACTATAGCCTTTAGTATGGATTAAAACTGAATTCTGTTTCACTTGAATCCACATTCAACACCTAGGAAATAAACAGTTAAGAAATCAAAGGATGGGCAAATCTGCTGCAAAAGACCTCTTTAAAGAGTTAAAGAACAAAGATGTCAGTTTGAGGACTAAGTTGTGCCTGACCTAACCCATGGTATTTTCAATCACCTCATATGTATATAGTCCTGATATGGCACTGTGGACTAATGTGTCAGACTGCAAAGTCATTTGAACTGCAAGGTTGGTGATTTAAGCTCACCAGCAGCTCCTTGGAAACCCTATACAGGGTCATTATGGGTCAGAATCAACTCAACAGCACTTAACAACAACAACAACAACAACATATATATGTGAAAGCTGGACAATGAATAAGGAAGGCTGGTGAAGAACTGAATTATAGTGTTGGTGAAAAATATTGAAAGTACCATGAACTTCCAAAGGACAAACAAATCTGACTTGGGAGAAGTATAGCCAGAATGTTCTTTGGAAGCAAGGATGGTGGTAAGACTGCATCTA